GACGTAAATGACATGATGTTGGAGTCGAACCAGAAGACGGTGTTGGTGGATAAGTCCCGAAGATGATGTTTGGTGGATGGATCTAGAAGATGGAAGGACTTCGAGAGTACATGCCTGAACAGGAGATGCTCGCCAAGCGAGTGTCATCTAACAAACACTGACCTAGTGTTGGATCCTAGGTAAACCCCGGAGCATTCTAAGCCTCCTATGTTTTTACAAATATCACTTGTGTCCTTTATGTTTGATGCATTAGGTTATAGGAGTTGATTGGAAACACTTGATGCTTATAACTTTCTTATTCAGAAATATACCTTAAACCTTGTGTAGGTCTAGAATCGAGTATATGCTTAGCCATGCTTAGCTCGGTAGAAGTCAGGTGATTTTCTGTCACTTGTGAGATATAGGTGGATACCATAGCACGGTTGGCTATATTTGCTATCGTGAAAAAGAACCATGGGATAATATAACTGGAGGCCGGGCGGAGTCTATGTATAGGTTGACTCATGTGATTCCATCTATGCCGATTAAGGACTGTATCATTGGAGGCCCTCTTGTCATTTTGAATGCATGCCTCTCACTTAGCTGGTCGGATAACTCATTCCGATCGTGAAGTCGAGTAACTCAATTCAGGCCGATCCTCGTTCTGTTAGAGTGCGCACACTGGAGGTAGTAAGGATGTGCGGGGAGCTAGTGTGAGGCCAAGGGTAGGTTAGAGTCCTGATCGACCTAGCATCCGGTAGTGTCCCTGATTGTGCGCGTGCAGATCGAACCCACGAATTGGACCTGAGTTGTACCAAAGGTGACCTAAGGTGACCGTTGATCTGGTCTACCTAGGTTTGTGTTAGGAATACTGCCTAGCTGGTTGCAATCGATTCGAATCGCCGTCTCTCCCGGATAGTGAGAAACTTGATGGAGCCCTTCATCATAGTAATTGGATTATGGAATATGATGGTTCTGATGAATATAAAAATCTTACACCGGTTATGGTTACTATTGTTATGCTACTAAATGATATACCACATGTTTGGCACATGTTAGTTGCTAATCTAGAGATGAATAGCTATAATTAACTTGGTTACCGAATTATAAAATGTATAGCTCAACTAGTGGCTTTTATGCAAAATGTTGTCAAGCTAACTCCACTTATATAGCCTTGCATGATCCTTGGTGTCACTTTATTTTTGGTTTATGATGGTAAGTCTAGCTGAGTACATTCGAGTACTCAGGGTTTATCCCACCATGTTGCAGGTGAAGTTCTCGGCCGCTAAAGATGGTAGCTAACGGCCGGTGGGCTCGGCAACTCTATATAGTGTTCTTATGTATATGCTTTTGACAGAGAATGTCACGTATGCTAGCAATGTATTTGGAACTTATATTATTGTAATCATTTGAAAGCTTTGTTGTTTTCACTAATCGGTTTTGAAACCTAAACTTGTATTATTATTTGTGAACTCATTGTAAATATTATTTCCGCTGCAACTCCGTGTATATGATATGTATTTGCTTAATCGTGCGATCTTGGTTGTGATGTTGATTTACCGAGGTCCTTCGTGACACTAGACGGATTACCGGGTTTATATAAATGAAAGTATGTACGCGTCAACATGTTAAACGGGGACGGCCGTACTTGAACTTGTATGAATTGGACGGTTCTGTCACAGTTGCCATTGTACTTCTGCTCTTATAAATTGGTCGGTTCTGTGGCAACTAGCATCGGAACAAGATTCAACACTATTTGTTATATGTGTAATTAAAACAAAGGTTTTTGATTTACAAAACAGTGTGTGTGTGTGTGTGTGTTTGTTTAAATTTGAAATTTAATCTAAAGTATGACAGTGATCATCTCCTTTATACCCAGTTAAGGATTTCAGGTGGCTTAGTAAGCACTAACTTTGGGGGTATACTTTCTTACAACTATAATAAACATAGTCATTTCACTAAATTTAAAGAATAAACTCACGATGTATCATTTCATCTAAAATAAATTGATTTCCAAAACAAACACTCCACTAGAAGACACATCGTATCATGCGGTGGCAATCGTCCAGCTCTCGGTCGTGCTTTTCCCCACCGTATCATGCGGTGGCAATCGTCTAGCTCTCGGTCATGCTTTACCCCGAAAAAGGTGCAAGAACGGCAGCACGGTGCGCGGCTTGTCCACGGTGATGATTGATGAACTTGTCGAACACTTTGAGCACCTCGCGCAAGTCCATATCCTTGTTGAGGGCATCGCACCACCTCAATGATCTCGACATCTCGGCCATCTCCATGCAACCGTCGCAAATGGCGTGTTTGCGGCCCTCGTGGTTGCGGTCGAACATCTGACATCTCAAACGCTTAGCCAAGCTGCGGGGGCATGAGGTGCTCGCGACGAGCTGCCACTTGCCAGTAAGAAGTTGTTTTTTTTTTTTGTAATCACTATTTGGACGTAGCGGAAATATAACTCACCACCGGTTCATTTTGGGAAGCATATTTCAACCAAATTTGACAGGAATTGTAAATATTCATTTTATGCCTGACGAATTTGACAAGCGAGACACGATGATGACTTTGTGAATCTCGAGATATGCTGACTCAGTTCTTCGAAGGTCGCCAATAAATGGTGACTTCATGATCTCGAGATATGCTGGCTCAATTCTTCAAATGTACTCATAGGGGTACTGTTTATGTATTCATAGGGACGAGGGATGAGTGTGCATGCATATTATCCACGTCTGCATTATTCGGTGTAATTCTTAAGAATGACAGTCGATCGAAATGCCCGACGAATTGTAAACATTGTCCTTGATGACGGCAAAAATCATTGTGCCCCTGATGATGGTTACGCATAGCAATTGCACGCCCCGTTTTCAGTTCCAAATTGCTTCTGCTTAAGCTTTTAAGTCAAAATTTCAGATGAACCATTTAAAATTTAAACAATTTTTAGCTGATGTTAATTGATTTAATTTAATTTAATTGTTTTTCAATAAACGTCAGTCAATTAAGGAGAGTATAATGATCTCGGGTGCCATCGGGTGCCATCATCAACCAACACAAGGAGAGTATAATGATCTCGGGTGCCATCATCAACCAACACACCAACACAGTAGAGAGATGCATATACTTCTACTCAACAAAACTCAAATGTCAGAAACAGATAAAACTCAAATGTCAGAAACAGATTTGATATAAGAATGAATAAGAGAAGAACAGAGGAATCAATGTTTCCACAATTCCTCCACGAGATCAGAGGAAACCTCACTCGCGGACGAGATCTTGGAAAAATCCCTCTCGCAAACGAAGAAATTGCCACAAAACACGGTAAGGTTTTGGGACAGAGTGCGTTTGCTGTGCTCTCACCAGAACATTAACGAAACAACCCAATTAGGCAAGTACCCAAAGACGAACAGTTCTTCTTTGGACAGGAGAAGACATGTGCCAGCCGAAAGGGCCCAGAAAATCACGGTGTCAGATCCAGGTGAGTTTAAGCTGGCTCGGATTCAATCTCGCGAGATGGCAGGATGATTGCCGATTGCCTGGACCGGGTTCAAGTTCGAGGTCCAAACAAGAAGCTGATCTTGCGAACCACACACGAATTTGTCCAAATCAACGAGAAACCGAACAAAATAAAACCGATTGGGAGGCTCTAGGAAAAGCAACGCAACCAAGAGGTAGCCCTCGATCAACCAAGATTGATAAAAATACACAAGAAACTAATGTTAACGGAGAAACAATCTCAAACACGGCGAACCGAGGCCGGCGGCGCGGGCGAGGAGGAGCTACACGGGCGGTCGAGTGGATATATATGCGCACGGGCACGTGGGTTCCTGATTAGGGTTTATCACGTGCTGACTTGGGCCGGCCCAATGTTAGCCCATACGGAGAAACTAGGCCCAGCGGGGATTGTGTACAGTCCAGAACGGCCCAAAGTAATGCAACGGGATTTTCTGGCAGACCCGATCCAAAATCCGACCGTTGCGCAGGAGCGAGCGCTCCCCTTCCCTTTTCCCTCCTCGCAGTCGCAGAGCGTACCAGAAAAGCTTTTCCGCCCCCCTCTCCAATTGCGAATCTTCCGGCAACTACCACGCACGCCGAGTTCTTGGTCTTGGCAAGAGAGGAACAAGGAGAAACCCTCCCTCGTCCCGTTCAACCTTCGCCGTCGACTCCACCGGAGCACGCCGTCGCGAGTTCCTCTCCGCGTCCTCGTTCTCCTTGCTGCTGGACCCGCAGTGGAGATCGACCTGATTTCTCCTGTGCTGTAAACCCTAGCTCTCTCTCTCTCTCCCACCCATTCCTTTTTCCCCCCTCGTTCGCTGTGATGTGAACCAGTGAAGCGAAACCCTAACGTTCCTACAGTACTTCGGCCCGTTTGGTCTAGATGCGGCCATTCTTGGGATGCCGCAAATGTGGATTTGTTCGCTGTTCCTAGCTTAGCGCCTTAGCCCTTCTTGAGCGCGCCCAAGGTCTCAGTGGGATTCACAATCCATCAGTTAGGGGAGCGAGGGATTCGAAAATTCTTTCTTTGTTGATTTGTTGGCATAAGCAGATCTTGGTTGACTTGGTAGTAGAGGATATGTGCGTTTTGATGTTCTTGGGTTCACTAATTTAGTGGTGCTTCCGTCAATGTCATCTCAGTGGAAAGTGCTATCACATAGGTGCGCAAAGAAAGGTTGCACAGTTACATCACCAGGATCCTATCTAGACACTGTCTCCTCTTTGTAAATCGTTCTGTTATGTAATTTTGCTACATGAAATTTCAAAAGCGGCCTCTGTAAAATGAAATGCAACTTCTTCCCCTTGTTCTGATCCAGTTTAGTATGTTTGCCGTTTAGTGATACTTCGAATCCATATTAAATTAGCACCCCCAGAACTTATTTCAGATCTTGTTCAGTTCCTGTACAACAAAAATACCGTATAGAAGTCACCATTTATTGTTTCTGTGTTCTGATTAGTTTCTCTTTACAGTCAATTGGATATTAGCCAGGCTTTCAAGGTAGAAACAAGAAGCTTTTTGTTCCATCATGGCCTTACCAACTCCAGTACCTGTTTTGTTTGATGAGAACCAACAGATAAATAGAGGTGAGATTGCATTTTTATCAAAAACTAATTTGTGAAAAGGAATTTTCCTGAAATAGATACATTTTTTATCTGCATGTTCAGGTAAGATGGCTGATGGACTAAGGGCCAAAGGGCTGAAGCCATCCGAGAATCCTGGCAAGCAAGGGAGGAGAGCTCTTCATGATTTGTCCAACGTTTCTAAAGGCACTGGTTTGAAGGACACTTCCACCCTGAAAGAGAAGTCCCGGCAGAAGCCTCGTAGTAATGTGACCAACACTATTAAAGGCACTGCTTTGAAGGACAAGCCCATCCTGAAAGAGAAGTCCACCCAGAAACAGAGGTCAGAAGCTCTTAAGAACCCGCTGAAAATTTTAACTGATGCAGAGATCAAAATGTGCCATGAGTGGGCCAAGGATGGGGTGGAGGGATTTCACTCGACACAAAATGATTCTCACAAGTTGGATGAGGATCTGCTAGACAAACGTATGATCGCTCTTCTTGGTTCTTAAATATGTGTGTCATATCTATAGTATATGTCTAATTATGCATGCTATTTAGGTGTCAAGAAGAAAGTGGTAGCGGTAAACTCAGCCCTGCGTGGTTGGTCAGATACAGTATTTGATTCACTAAAGTTTCCAGTTAAGGTATGTGGCCCAATATCACACAATACTTTTCAAAATTCGTGCAGGTTGTTCATAAGGTTGAAGTATGTTATCAGGGATTTATTTTACAAAATCATGACTCCATTTCTGTATGATTGTCACAGTCCCATGCAAGCTCATAATTAAGCAAGCAGAATTTGTTATTATTAAGAATCAGGGAAATTATATGTTACTTGATTGTGTAGTTCTCCTTGTTAACTGATACAGTTGTCACTAGTCCGCTGGAGTCATGGGGTAAAGCAGTAAAATGATTAATCACCTAGCTTTCTGGTAGTAACGGGAAACTACTATATCACAAAAGTTTATATTGTGTTATCTACTGACAAGCTTGATCTTGTTTGGTTGCTCCAGTACCTTATAGTTTCGACAAAGCTATGTTTGTGAGATAGTCATTCTTGGAATTCTGAATCTGGCTTTCTACTTACAGCATTTGCTTATTATAAGAAAATATATCTGAAATTTAAAACACCTTTAATAATCAGCCCATTTCTGGATATTGGAATTTTCCCAATGCCAATAGTACTGAAGGAAGCTGGCTATCTATGAATAACATATTGTTTCACAAGGCATAGCATCTTGTCCCATTGTAGGTTTATTTTAGGAAGATAACAGGTCTCCCATGTAGGGTATGGTCAATAAAAATCTGAAATGTAGCACGTGTAGAAGTTCAATAACAGTTGGTTCATATTATTTTCTTAGCCATCTTGTCATCTGTATGCGCCTATGCATTTTGGATTATGTCCTGCTATTGATGCATCATTTACACCAACAACATGAATTCGCATCCAGTTATTTGATTTGCTCTTGTTATACATATGCAATTAATTCCCATTGTAAAGTGTAGACATCGAAGCAAGTAGCAGATAATACTAGAAAGATGATTTCTAGACCGCAGCTTTTTTTCCCGTTTCCTCTCTTTTTTCTACCTTGCACTGTCATACCAGAAACATAATTCATGTGTCTCTTTATGATTCAGGAGGTTGCTGAGTTTTTTAATGAACCAAATGTGCTGGAGCTGGAACCTGAGATTCTCCCGGACATCAGTTGGCGTCTCTTTCTCCCTTATCTCTGACAAATATGTGTTGTCAATCACGTTTTACCTGCTGTACTTGCTAAGTGTTGCTATCCTGCAGCTGCTTTTTTTTTCTCTTTTGTGTTTTCTCTTCGATTCGAAATATTTTCAGTTCTTTATCACGGTGATATTTCTGTTCTGATTGCATGTAGCTTGTGACTTCCATGCAGATGATAAAGCAAAGATTGCTGAAGACTGTCTTGATGAGCTTGACCAGTACCCTTCTTTGGAGAACAGTCCAGTTATTTTTGAGCTGAGAGATGACGAGCCAGCCATCCCGCAGCTGGGAGTGTATTGAAGAATCTGTGCCAGGTGGACAGAAAGCTCTGCTGGCTGCTTGCTCTAGTCTAGAATGCTACTAGGTCTTGAACAATGAACCTGATGTTTTTCCCCAGCTATGTTCTGGTGGGATACTGGTGATGTAGGATTTCACAGTTTCAGTACTGGTACACCTGTTCGCGCTTCCTGTCTGTTATGCTTGCTGATGGTGATGGGTTTGTGGAACTGCGGGTGGTACAATTCTATCATTTTCAGCAAAACAAATCTATGAATGAACTCTATATATTATCATGAATCATGATATGACTTGGCAGTGCTTCAGATAACCATAATAATATGGTCCTAAATAGAGTGAAATTCTTGGCACTAATCTTATCTGCCAAAGCCTGCACATGCTGCTGGCACGAGACGAAGCGGGGTCGTCGGGTTGGTTCGTCGAAACACACTGGTGAAACTTGTAGAATCAAAGGGCTAAATCACATCAGTAGTGGATTCACGCATCTACTACGGCAGGTCTTCGATTGGCCAAAAGGTCAAATCGAAGTTGTGTATGTGCGTGCACGAGAGGAGAGGAGCGCGTGATTCGTCCGTCGCCAGCGCCCGTCCGAGACCGTCAGTGTGGACGCGTGGACGCGAAAATTATTTAGCCCTCCTCGGCTGCTGCCTTCGACCTTCCTCACACTGACCTCGCCGTGCCCTTGAGAGGTCAACTAGAGCCTACCGAGCGTTCGAGCCAGTCGCCGGCGCGAGGAGAATGGGGACGGAGGCCGACGCCGCAGCCGTGGACCTGCTCCGGTCGCAGATCCCGTCCCAGACCGACGGGGAGCTCGTCCTCCCGACGCGCGGCGTGGGGCTCGTCCTCGTCGACCTCTGCAACGGCTTCTGCACTGTCGGCGCCGGGAACCTCGTGAGCCTCCTCCTCCTCTTTACTCACCGCCGTCTCTAGGTTCTCGCGTGTTCGCCCCTTTTTTCTTTTTCCTTGATGATTGTTTAAGCTCGCGTGGGATTGGGAAAGCTTCGGTTCTGTTCTGTTCCTCGCTTGATCGCAACACTAAAATCGTTCGGTTTCCTGGCAAGAAAGGGTAAGCAGTGCAGCGATCTTGTAGGAATCTGCGATAGGGACAGAAGTGATCGCTCACTACTGGATTTATCCTCCTCGATTGTATCGTTGTATTTTTCCTTGCTCTTCCCTCTACCTATTTTTTTAGTCTGTTTCCTGCTCATCAGTATATAAAAAAAAACTCTCGACCAGTGTTTGGATATGCACAGTATAGCTGTACAAGTAATGCCCCGTTGACCGCCATCTTAGATAGACCTGAAATTTATGCTGATCCTATGAGACCGTTTTGTTGTTATTATTTATTATTCTAGTATAAAACACGGGCTGTCATCGTTATATTAGCATGTCCTCTTCGTTTCTCCTTGCGATTTCGCAAATTTCCGTCTCCTTTTTGGGTTCATGCGTCGTGCTGTCAGTAGGTTTGATTGTTGTTTCATACAGACTATTTTAGACTGACCGAGTAATTTATTCTTTTTCATTCACAGGCTCCTGTTGCGCCAAATAAGCAGATCAGTAAGATGGTGGAAGAGGCCGCTAGGCTCTCTAAGCTGTTCTGTGATAGAAACTTGCCCGTCTTTGCATTCCTGGATACCCATTATCCAGATAAGCCAGAACCGCCATATCCCCCACATTGTATCATTGGTACTGGGGAGGAGAACTTCGTTCCAGGTTGGTGCTAAATATTTCAGAATTGTTGCCCAACTTGGTGCTTAGTTTTTATTTCCTGTTAGAGTGTGTTTGGCTTTAGGAACCAAACCCGTCCCAAATGAGGTGGTGCGTCATGAGTTCATCCGATGAATTTTGGTGGAATCACCTTGTTCTTATGCTTGTACTAATTACTAGCTTGAGATGGAAGAGGTGATGGAGAATCAATCCATTTTATTCAACAAACCAAACAAAAAAGTGAGGAGTGAGAAGATGATGGACCACCTCATTCCTCAAACCAAACACATCCTTAATGATTTATACTGACAATACATGAGAAGAACAATGAAATATGATTGATTTTCTGTGTGACCCGTTTCATTTTGCAATGTGCAGATCTGGAGTGGTTGGAAAAGGAGCCAAATGTGACTATAAAGAGGAAAAGTTGTATTGATGGGTACATCAGCTGCATAGAGAAGGACGGGTCTAGTGTTTTTGTTGACTGGGTTGGAAAATATCAGATCAAAACTGTGAGTTGTCTTAATACAGAAGGATTTCAGAGATAGACTCTATCCTATTGTGTATGACTTGGGGGCATGGGCTCGATGCAGGTCTTGGTACTCGGGATATGCACGGACATCTGTGTTTTGGATTTTGCAAGCTCAACTCTGGCTGCTCGAAATATTGACCGAGTGCCTCCATTACAGGATGTCGTGATTTATTCAGAGGGGTGTGCTACATATGACCTTCCTGTTGAGATTGCTATGAATATCAAAGGAGCTCTTGCCCATCCACAGGTACCGAATCACTGATGTCCATACATTCAAAAAAAAATCAAACCGTACACTATGGGAATCTTCAGATGGCCACAATCACATTTTTATATATAGAAGAATGAATGAAAAATTATCCTTGGAGAAAAACTAAACCTAGAAATTTTCAAGATGATACTGCTCAATCCATTTACATAATAGGGTGGTTGTTGGCTGAGCTTTTTTTCCCCCCAAATACAGCACCTTTACAAAGTTTATTTCATGCCAACAGCAAGGAAAGTTTGCACATACAAAAAATAAAGAGAACCATTTCGTTTCCAAATGAACAAATTTATTTAAATCAGTAGGCCCTGCCCCTCCTGTTCCCTCAACACACACACACACACACACACATGCATGATTCTTGGGAAACCTAAGGGGATAAAAGATATTGCTCCTGTGTTAAGTTTACACAATCATCAGTTGCAAATAACATTCTTTTGGAACCAGTAGAACATTACTCGACATAAACTGGATGCTGTCTAAGAGATGCTGAAGGGAGAACCTTACAATCAACTTACCATTCAATATTGCAGGATCTGATGCATCATATTGGACTCTATATGGCCAAAGGAAGGGGTGCAAAGGTAGTTGACAGGGTGGTTATTTGAACCTTGAATCAAAAAACTTGCCCTCGTCGTAGTGATGTTGCTAGAGTTTCCTCAGTCCTCTCATCCTTCCATTGTAACAAAATCAGATATATATGCATCTTAGCATAAAGTTGTTGAGATACTATATAATGCCAGCGACAACTATATTGAATATGTAAAGATGTGCTCATTTTGTGGTTAGCTTGTACATATTTCCTAAGTTACTCTGTCCTGCCAAACATGCGCCATTTTAATATACACCGTGTTTTCTCACAGGTTGGTAATGTTCAATTCTGGGATTGTATATTTGTATTTAATAAAATACTTCATTCGTTTCAAATTATAAGATGTTTTGATTTTCTAGATACTTAGCTTTTGCTATGCACTTAGATATACACCATGTATAGATACATATAAAATGTATTTAAAAAGCCAAAATCCTTATAATTTAGAATAAGGGGTATAAAACTTATAAAACTTTCTCTAGTCTTGGCAAAAAAAAATGTTGGTTGAAGGGAGCTTTATATTACTAATAACTTGGTTGACAATATTGATGAGAGTATTTCCGAGTATACTACGGAATAGAATATATGAAAATATATTTTTGCACTATATATTACTCAGCCGTTCCAAATTATAAGACATATTAGTTTTTTCAGGTACATCGTTGTAACTATGTATCTATAGATATTATATGTCTAAGTGCATAGCAAAAACTATAGATCTAGAAAAAGTCAAAATATCTTATAATTTAGGATGGATGGAGCACTATTACTACAGTTCACCTTTTCTCCTTTGTAACATTGAATCATCTAAGTTTAAAATAAAACTTAACGACATTGGCCTACAGGTATAAAACACGCACTTGCTACTAATAAACTAATGAGGAAACAAAGGAATAGTCAAATAGTTAATATAACAAAGCCATACCTTTATATAGAGATATGAAAAAAAAGAATACATGAATAGGCAGAGAGGAATAGAACAACAGAGGATACATATACATCCATGACAACTGTTTTTTTTAAAGAACACAAATTCATTAACCATGCAACCCAACAGACTCGTTGGCTACATGATCTGACACAATCCTCGGGAAATCCTTAAGCCAAACATAACAGCTTTCGGATGACTCTAGAGAAGAACCAAGCTTAGCTAATTGGTGCGCAACACGATTACATTCTCTCTGGCAATATGTTACATGGTACATGTGGAAGTTATTAAGAGAAAGCAACATTCTAGCCTATTTAATAATCCATCTCCTCTTCTATTGAAGAGTTTCTCAAATTTATACAATCTATCTTTACGATGATTTTTCCCATACCAAGAACATCAACAATCTTCAAAGCATTTGTGATGGCCATAGCCTCTACATGGAGGGGATCCTAAAGGTTCTGCAATTTACGTGCTACCATCATTCTTAGATACCCATCACAATCTCTAGCAATAACTCCCCAACCATCATTTCCACATTGCTTACTGAAGGAACCATCAACATTTATTTTGGGGAATCTCCCTCTAGTCGCCTCCGCATACGACAAAAAAGAACAAGACTTTTATTTTGGTTGTTTTGGCTTTAGGTAGTCGGTGAAACTTCTCACTAGATCTCTAATCAAGAAAACCACTTTATCCAATATAAATACTCCTCCTTGAGAGACCTTGTGTCGAGTAGTCCACCAAAACCATGATAATGTCAACATTTCAGTTTGCAAGTCTCATTTAGTTTCCGTATTTCCACTAGGACATGTTGTGCCAAAGAAAAATCCAAGAGTTGATTCCACTTCTCTTCAAGCTGAAGGCTACGCCAAACCTAGCACACACACTTGCACTTGAGGAACAGATAACTGTCCATCCTCATCTAATCGGTGACACATTGTACAGATAGTTTCAAGCTTCATCCCCTTCTTTTTAAATTTTGTCGTGGTGGTAAACTACTATGGGCCAACCTCCAAATGAATGCTTCATCTTATATAGGACTTGGTATTCCCATATTTGTTTCCATTTAAAATTACCATTGCCCCCACCAGAATGACCTTGCAGACCTTCTTCTTGTTCCAACTCACTTAGATATAGTTTGTGGGCTGATTTAACATAAAATTTTCCCTTTGCATCAAGATGCCAAACTAAAAAGTCAGCTTCATCATCATGTAAATGTATTCACAACATTACATCAACATCTTATTGATGAAAAAAGTCATGAACCATCCTGCCATGTCACCTCTTTCGGTTTGAATTATTCTGTAGACTTCCACGTAGAAACGGTGAACTTTCAAGTTGGGAAGTTTGCCTTTTTGGATACTACCATCCAATAATAAACCAACTCTGAAACAAATACTTCCATGCATTGATCCAGCAAATTGGTCTATAGGAGGATTTGTTCCTCGGAGCCTCAATCTTTCCTACGGGGAATATGTAATAATGGTAACTTTGATAGTGGTGATGATGCATCCAAATGGGTTCGGAGCCTCAAGCTTCCACGTGTTACCCCTCTGGTTGTCAATGCTTGTTTAAGGGTGTAGATGCATATAAAAGATGTTATAGTTGATAATGCAATCATGGTGGAATGGTATATGCTTGTTATAGAAACAACACTTTAATGTTTGTGAATGAGACCAAAACAATGGGTATTTTAAACGAGACGGCGTATTATATAGTTTAATGTCAATAGCTAAGGTTTGAGCGTTATAAGCTGAATCATTAATTAATGTATGCATTTTGTATAGGTGGGGGAAGAGGAGTGTAGGTTGTAGGGGGTAGAAACACGTGTATTGAATGTTCTTGAAAAACAATCGATTAGAAACGAAAAGCATGGTTCTACCATTGTTGCATCAGCAACTAATATTATAATAACCACCTTGTGCTATTGTGCACCATAGAAACACCAGGAGGAGAGGGTGTTTGCCACGACAAAGTCTCTAACCAGAAAATCGGTGCTAGTTTTTTCAAATGAGATCCTCCGGGATGAGAAGAGAGAACCTCATGACGATGCCTCTAACGAGAAATATGCTACGTCATTGTCCACATTAGAAAAAGACAAACATGGCATTTCCCCTTCTATCACCATAAGCTATTTCCTAATGTATTGGCGAAATAGCCATCTTCGTCCCCAAACTATTGCCGAAGGCTCACTTTGGTCCCTCAACTTTCAAAACGTCCAGTTTAGTCCTTAAACAATTCATCTGCGGGTCGATCTCGTCCATCCCCATCAAGTAATCGCCACGTGTCCAGGACTACATGCCTAAAGTCATTGCTGCCCCTCGCCCATCCTTTTGGAAGCCGCCCAGGCTTCACGGCGTCCTGTCCCCCGTTTCTCCTCTTCTCTCGATCTCGTCCATCCGGCGCCTCAAGTTCCACGAGAGGAGCCGCCCAGTCTCACGGGAGGAAGAGCCACGAGAGGAGCAGAGTAGTGTGGGGTAGGCGCAAGTTGAGGAACCCTATGCTTTCTAGTATTGGATAGATGAAGAATTTGAAGGTAGAGCAAAAAAGGTGATTCAAGACTTAGTTTCAATGAGGCACAGTATGTCAGAGTTGTACCAACAATCAGCTGAACAATGGGATGATATGTATGCTGATCGACAGAGAGCGAAACAAGAAATTTGTAAATTGAAACGAACAATTAGAGAGCAACGAGACTGCATTGTAATCTTAATTGTTTTTAGCATTGTAGTTGCTTGTGGCCTACGGTTCATTGTGTAACCATTGGAATGGATGCAGAAATAAATTTAACATGTCTGTCATGTCTCATGTCCAGAAACAAATTTAACATTTCTATTATGTCTCATGTCTGATGCTTAGGTTTTTGACATAACAAATTCAAGTGTTCACAAACTAAGGATTGCGTGATACAAAGGCATTAATATTATTGCCTTCAAATTACATCTTTTTCTTTGAATGCACCAGACGTGTTGATGTTTTTTCTGAGAAGAGCTGCTTTGTCCTGCTGCTGCTCCACGTCCAAGTGATAAGGACTGGATGTTTGCAGATGCACGCCCTCCTTGCACATTGATTGTTGCCTTTGCAAATGAGCCAACAGTCCCAGCGTTAGTCTCAATGACAACAGAAGCACTCCCTCCAGCAGATGCCTTCGTAGATGCTTGAGCACTTGACTTTGCAGATGCTTGAGCACTCTCTCCAAAAGATATCAGTCTTCTCTTATGGCCTGACTATAAATAGCAAAGCTGATTTAGGCAAACATACAATTTACTCAAGCATCTTACTCTGAGTTGATGATACCGCTATGGATTTTCCTTTAGTTTGCTTCGACTGTGCAGGTTCAATTGCCAGCGGGGTACTCTGACTTGCATTGGTGGCGGGATGATTAGATTACCCAGCATGTTTTTGCTGCTATGCAATACAGACCAAGTTAGTAAAATGAGTAAGGAATGAATATAATGCAGTAAGGGGAAATAGTAAATTCAGTAAACACCATTTTCATAGAGCATGTCCTCGAGTTGTGACCATAATTTCTACAGTGACGACATCTAATTTTAGTACCAACTTTTGACGACTTGGTTCCTGATTTCACTGGTTCTGAAGGGTCTTTTCTCCTATTTTTCTTTGGTCGGTCTAGCATCTTTTTTACTCTAGGAGGCAATGGTTTGGGGTTAGGAGACACAGGCCAAGCCGACTCATGTTCCACTGGCTACAATACATGTTGGTATGTCTTCTTGTATGTCTCAAGTGAGAAGCACTCATGTATGTAATTGTTAGGCTCTTGCGCCATTTTGAATAGGGCAGCACAAGCATGTTGGCATGGAATCCCAGAGACTTGCCGGTACCTACATGAGCATGTTTTGCTTGTCAGGTCTACTGTGAACCTCCATTTTTTGTCTCTCACTTCAAATCCAGCATCACCATTCCACAAGACATGACAAAACTATGTCCTATGCCTAATCTTGTTGAATTTCCTTATAATGTCAGGACACACTGCCATTGTCCACCTCTCACTGTTACTCCTATTTTCTTGGATTCTTCTAGTCACTAGGATCTTGATGTCCTCCAACATAGTAATAATAGGCTTGAACCTTGATTCTATAATCCAACTATTGAATGATTCACTCATGTTATTGTCAACTGATTCACAATTTGATCCAAGTCTGAACCAAGCTCGAGACCAATGAATAGGATTTGTTTTCTCTAAATCCTACCATCCCCAAGGAGTTTTTGCAGCAAGTTTACTCTTGTAATGCTTAAACAACTGCTCATTAGGTGCCTTTGCAATCTTCCAAAACCTCTTTTGGTACTCTTGCAGCCTATGTTTCTTTCTCCAGTTGGCATAAATGTGGCGTGCACACATCCTATGCTCAACCAATGGAAACAACATAGATAATATGCTGAGCAGCCCCTGCAAAAAAGGACAAATGATTTAAACATATTGTTTCAATGTTTCAAACACAAAATGCACAGAAGTAGATAGAAATGTATCTTCTGTTGGTCTGTTATAATCACCTAGCCTACAGCTCTAATAGGTATGTTGATATCTTTCTGAAGGTGCCCAAGAAACCAATTCCATGAATCTTTATTCTCATATTCCACAATAGCCCATATAATTGGGTAAATCTGATTATTGGCATCCCTACCAATAGCCGACAACAACTCACCTTTCAATGGCCCCTTCATGAAACAACCATCAAGCCCAACTACCCTCCTACATCCATCTAAGAATCCCCTTCTACATGCATCAAAACATATGTAGAACCTTTGAAACACATGGTCCTCTTTCTCTAGGTCAAGGACAACATGCACACTAGTTCTGGGATTACTGCGCTACAGCTCAAGAGCATAGTGAAACAACTTGGAGTACTCACCAGTCTGAGTATCCATTATTTTCTTCACTACCCGTGCCTTTGCTCTCTTAATCATTGTTATTGACACATCCACTCCCATGTCCTCTTATACTGTCTCCTTCATTGCTCTAGCCTTCCAAGATGGATTAGCCTTGATAGTACTCTCATACTTGTCATATATCCTACTTGTAGATAACCTTTTATTTTTAAGCTCAGGACAACAAGCATGATTGGGAATATAAGTTCTAATCTAAAACCAATCTGACCTTGAGTTATGTGAAGTGTATAGAAGCCAAGGGCAACCTTTCCACCTACAAACAACCCTAATCCTTTTCAGGCCATTCTTCACATATTTGATATTTGTCTTCATCTTCAGTGCATACCTCTCTATTGCATCCTTCAATTCATCCCTTCCTCTAAAGCACATGTCAACACAGAACTGGGGAGTCTCAGCAGAACTATCAAATATTGGGAACCTGCACTTCCTTCTTGTAACTACACCATCACTATCCTCATCATATGATGCATCTCTTGAATCAAAGTATGGAACACCATCTCCACCTTCTAAGGCCTGATCACTACTGTTAGGATCAGTGCAGTGTATGACATCCACCTCAATTGGGTTGTCCAATGGAATATCTCCTCTCTTCTTTACTTTCGACATAAAGTCGTTGTATTTAGTTCTTATCTCCCTAAATTCATCATCTTCATCAGTTGTGAAACTTGTTGCATGACATCCACTCTCTGATTCTGATTCTGATTCTTCTTCTTCTTCTTCATTCAGACCATCCTGACATTGGGTTGGACCTTCCAGACGCAGCATGTTAGCATCCTGAACAGTTTGTTCCTTGACAACATGTTCTGCATGATCTAAATCCATGATATTATCATCTTGACATAGGGCAAATACATCCTCATCTGCATACTGTGTTTTGATTTCTTCATTCCCACCAACACTAATTGGTTCGGTGTATATATCCATAGCCCTACCAGTTCCCAGCTCATTAATCATGTCCAAACATGACTTGTCATCTACAAGTAACTTCATTCCACTATTCAAATCTGCACCATATGGCAACCAGTACATCCTAACAGATCTAGAAAAAGTTGTGTGATCCAATAGGTGGCCTTCAAGTTCAGGGATAGATATCTTGTCCTTCTCTATGTGGGACACCCGAGAATCCCCATTGCAATACAACATCTTGGACGCATCAAGAACAAATTCCCCATTAAAATGAAATCGAACTTCTAGTACCTCAAATTCAAACATTGTTTTGCAGCCCTAAAGATCCACTGTATGGTCAAATTGAAACATTCTACCAGGAAAACAAAAACGCAAAACCAGCTAGGTGCCACTTTCATCTTACCGTGGAGCACGTCCACTCCTCTTCCCGCGTCATGGTCGCGTATGAGCAGGTGTCCGCCTCCACCAGCATAAGGGGCGCGCCTCACCCCCTTCCAGTGTTGCGCCTGCCCCACACTGTTCTACTCCTCTCGCGGCTCTTCCTCCCATGAGACTGGGCGACTCCTCTCGCGGAACCCAAGGTGCCGGATGGACGAGATCAAGAGAAGAGGGGAAACGGGGAGGAAACGGTGGACGGGACGCCATGAAGCCTGGGCGGCTTCCAAAAGGATGGGCGAGGGGCAGCAATGACTTTTGGCATGTAGTCCTGGACACGTGACGATTACTTGATGGGGATGGACGAGATCGACCCGCAGATGAATTGTTTAAGGACTAAACTGGACGTTTTGAATGTTGAGGGACCAAAGTGAGCCTCCGGCAATAGTTTGGGGGACGAAGATGGCTATTTCGCCTAATGTATTTTAGTGACTTTGGTCATATTTGTATAGGCAACATCGGCTAATCTCACTCTCCTGGTTGTTTTCATCTTGAACAGTAACGTAAAACAAATGGATTTAGTGCCCAACACTTGAATTTTATATAGTATCTGTAATGTCTCCTCTTACCTCATGATCTTTCCATTTATGTGACAATGCCCCGTCTCTTGTTATCCCGCATTTAGTTCAAAAGTTTAAACATGAACGAACTAAAATGGCGAAAGAGGTAGTCTGTAAAACAAAATTAATCCGGGCTGAGAAAGACTAAACATGAGTGACAGCACACGTCAATCAAATCACCAAAAAATCAGAGCACCAGAAACACTGGAGTAACCCTTTATCAGAAAAGAAAAAAAAGGAATCTTTCTATCCGTCGCTAAGGTGTTTTGGCTCGGAGAACACTCGATTTTTTTTTCTTCACCGTCTTCTTCCTTCTCCCGACACGCCGCCGCCACCCACCGCCCCGTCGAGACCCTACCGTGCGAGGCAACCTCCTCCTTCCCTCCTCCCCCTCCCGCCGCTGCCATGGCCATGGACGCCCCCACCCCCGTCCCGACCTGGCCCGGCCATCTCCTATGCCGTCAGAACCCTAATCGTTGCCCTCTCGTCGTCCCTACCGTCTGGTTGGTATGCCTCCCTGAGCCCCTTCTAAGCCCGTTGCAGTTTAAGAAGAGAGGAAGGGAAGAGAAAGAAAAAATTGACCATTGGATTGCTCTAAAACACTCAACCGTTGTATTTCTTAAAAAAAAAAGCCCGAGCGACTTGTATATACTGTAGATCAAATCAAAAATAGAAGAAGAGAAAAACACTCGAGCGAGATTTCGTGTTTACCCGAAAACACACACAAATTTGTGATACGTGGAAATATAAATAGACCGAAACCCCCGCCTTCCTGTCGCGTCCCCTCTTCCTCCCCCACCTTCCTCTCTTCTCCCCTTCACCCCTTTCTGGCTTTTCTCTCCTCCCCGCGTCCCCGACTCCTGCCCGAATTCGAGATCCCGGAGGCAGCTTCCCAAGGGCTCCTGCGCTCCGCTCGCTGGATCAAACCATCGTGCTCTCGACAGGACCCCTCCCACCCTGAAACCTAGCCGGACCAAGCCCTGTTCGCCATGAGCGCGGTGCCCAGGCCGGGCCAGATCTACAAGATCCGCACCGACACCGCTACGCCTATCACAAGGTACAGAGGCCGAGCTGAACCCCTTGGATTTGCTCGCTTAGGCAGTCCTCTCCGATGTATTGCCGCTGATTTGCTGAAAATGGCGTGGTCGCTGTAGGTGGATGCTCTCGTGATCTCTCGGAGGCCGCCGGGACTGAGCGGCATCTCGGCGGAGGCGTGGCCTGCGTAGCTGGCGGCCTGCCGAGATGCAGCGGAACGGGGTGGTGGAATGCAGCGTTTGCCGCTCCCGGGTGGTGGTGCCGAGCCCCCGGAGCGTGTCCAGGGCATACGACAAGCACCGCAGCAAGATGACGTCCAAGTTCCGCGCGCTCAACGTCTTCCTCGTCGTCGGTGACTGCATCCTTGTTGGTCTCCAGGTGTGTGCGCGCCTAAACGCTTCATTTTCAGTCCCAAGCGCGGGAGACCTTTGCACGATCAATGTTTGAGTGAAATGGCCTCACGGATTTGGTACAGAAGTAATGCTTTTACTAGTACTGATGCCTCGCATGCTTGACATGGCCCTTTGCTGTAGTGTTACGTTCACCTGAATAGCAAATGATTGGCCTTGGGGCGTTATGCTAATGTTTGACTTGGTTTATGCAGCCCATCCTAGTGTTCATGTCAAAGGTTGATGGGAAGTTTCAGTTCAGTCCCATCAGTGTTAACTTTCTGACGGAGGTTATGAAAGTCATCTTTGCTATTGTGATGCTCATAATTCAGGTTTGTTCTTGTTACTTTCTTGCTGATGTTTTCCCTTTTTGCAAGCATTCTGACTCGAAGTGACTTTAGAAATGAAGAGTGATCCATTTTGCGTGAGCTATTTTCACATGTTAGTCTGATAGCATCTATGATCTCCTAATAAGCAGCCCACTGAGAACTCTTATGATCTTTCAAAAAAAAAAAGAGAACTCTTATGATTTGTGGTTCTGGGGTAAGGATCAGAGGACTAAGTGTTTACACGCAAAAGGAAATGGGAAAAAAGGGTTTGTCCAACAAAACATGAAGCTATCTTTCCTAGCAGTTAATGCCTTCTAAAATGTGGAGTGGCACTCTTGCTTGGTCAGTCCAAGTAAGCTGTTTTCCGTGTGCGCAGATTAGCTTAGGATTTTGTTAGTATTCCTCCACACTTCGGATTTTCATGGTGTCTGGTGGATGTACCGAATTACAGTTACTCTGCAGTGTTTTCTCTTTAGTTTGTTGTAAGTAGTATTATGTTCATAATTTCTTATCTGTTAACCTTTTTTTGCTTTGTTGTTCCAATGTGACAGTCTAGAAAGCAAAAGGTTGGAGAAAAGCCACTTTTGGCACGTTCAACCTTCATACAGGTGATTTATCTACCACAAGATATATTGTACTTTGATATGTACTGTTGCTCCGTATTTATTTTTTGCTACATTGTCTGATTATTTGATCATTCACTATTTGGTTTTGTAGGCAGCCCGTAATAATGTACTTCTAGCAGTTCCTGCTCTTCTATATGCCATCAACAATTACCTAAAATTCATAATGCAGGTAATGTTTGCCTTGTTTACTGGCAGAGTATTGTAATTTTTATGGGTAAATATTGATATTGCCTTGTGATATTGTGACAACCTGACATATTGAGCCAACTGTGCAGTTGTACTTCAATCCTGCGACTGTAAAAATGCTAAGTAACCTGAAGGTACACTTTTCTTGTACTGCTCAGCTATGCTGCTTTAGCTATACTTTGTGTCATTGTGTGCACACATCTAAAAGTACCTGTGGTCTAAACTTCTCTAGGTACTGGTTATAGCTGTTCTTCTGAAATTTATAATGAGAAGGAGATTCTCAGTTATTCAGGTGAGGGTAACATTGACATTATCTTGAAATAATTTATGTTTATCTTAAAGATTGGGAGTATTGTGTACTAAATAATTTGTGCTTTTAGACTATGTCTTTTCTTTCTCACTTTCTTTTCGCTTTTGTTGGGGGCTCATGTTGGGACTAAAAAGTTGGGGTAGGCTAGAAATGAAGCCCAACATGAATTTTAAGAGCTGATGGGCCTTTTCCACATATATAAGCATAAAATGAACTATCAAATGCTGTACTTCCTTTTAAGAATGTTTTTGTCAGGTGCAACAGTGTTGACTTCAAGCTATGTTGGCCTTTCTCCCACTTTTTTTTTAATATTGACAGTGGGAAGCTCTTGCTCTATTGCTTATTGGAATCAGCATCAATCAACTCCGAACTGTACCCGCGGGCAATACGGCATTTGGTCTTCCTGTCACTGCTATTGCCTACATATATACATTGATTTTTGTAAGTTGCTGCTAGACCATCTGTTCTCATTTGCTTTCCCCTCATGTACACTTCTTTTTATAAGTTATCGATAAAAAAGTAGACTTGCAAATTAAGTTATATATTTATTTACTACTATGAATTGTAGGTAACTGTTCCTTCAATGGCTTCTGTCTACAATGAATATGCCTTGAAAAGCCAATATGACACTAGCATTTATCTCCAGGTAAAGTATTAGTTAGTTTACCTTTGCCCTTGAGTTCCTCTAGAGTAGCTTGTATGGTCCATTGTAGTTTTGTTTTTGTTTTCCAACTTCATATTGAAAGTGTTTGACTTGCTTATCTTGCTATTTGTTTTATCATAGTGCCCCATATTTCTGTTAATGATTTTTCCATTTAATTGTAGAACTTGTTTCTGTACGGATATGGAGCAATATTCAACTTCCTTGGCATTCTCGGGACTGCCTTATTCCAAGGTGTGCACCTTCATTTGAAGTTCGGTTTTACATTGATAGATGATGGCAGCTGCATTTATCTGTCCACACTCTGGATGGCAATGAGAAAAAATAATTTTGTATGGTGGTACCCTCATGCTTAACAAGTTGTACCAACAAAAAGGATATGCATAACGAACTGCATAGCTCATAAAAGCTGACTGATTTTGTGTAGAACATTAGAATTTAAAGTATTTACTAATGATTAGTAGTTGGGGGATGTGAATGTCCCTTTTCCTGAGGCAAACACGATAGGTATGTTGTCTGCCTTATGTTTATGATGATTACATTGTCCTGTCTTTTTGCAGGGCCAGAAAGTTTTAATATTCTTCGAGGACATTCAAGGGCCACAATGTTTCTCATATGTAACAATGCTGCACAAGGCATTCTATCTTCATTCTTCTTTAAGTATGCAGGTAATGGTTTTTGACATTTGCTCTTTATTATTATTGCAGTTATCACATCTATTGTCTAACTGAAATACACTGCAGACACAATTTTGAAGAAGTATTCGTCAACTGTTGCCACAATATTTACTGGCCTAGCTTCTGCTGCATTCTTGGGGCATACTTTGACCATTAATTTTCTCCTGGGCATATCAGTGGTGTTTATTTCAATGCACCAGGTAAACTGACCTTTTTTTATTACTTTTTTTGTTGAACAACCATTGTTGTATTTCATGTATCTTACTGTCGTTTCTCCTTAGTTCTTCTCTCCACTTGCTAAAGCCAAAGATGACAAACCAGCTGACTTAATAGAGTTGGAAGATACCCAAAATCACCGGTAAGTTTTTATCTCGCTTCAAATGGTATTAACAAATTACTTCAATACTTGATTTAGGTTTCACTTAGCATTGGCCTTTGAAGAAGTGCTGTTTTGCACTGTGTCCATGATCTCCATCTAGACTTTTATAGCTTTGGCATGTGCTTTGGGATGCCTGTTAATGTTGTTGTAGAAATAGCAAGCTGTTTATTAAGTTTCTTTTGACATGTGGCCTCATGTGGTGCTTATTTTTCACAGGTCATCTGAATCTTCTTTTGTAAATATGACTGCTGGTGCCGCTGATGATGTGAGTATCTCATTTTCCATTTTAGAATAGATGTGTCATTTTAGAGGCTACATCTAATTTGGCTTTCATTTCAGGCGAGCCATCGGATTGGAACTGATGAGAGGCAACCGCTGTTGCCTACATGAACTAGTTTCTTGAGGTATACATAGATTCTTGTAGCCATATTTCTACTGTGTTGCCCAGTTGACAGTTTGACATGGTAAATAGCTGTATGCACGTAGTTTGCCAGTTCAGTAAGGTGTATGATTATAGATATTTTACACAAGATAAATCGTAATTTTTTAGTGGATATTTGTCTGTGACAGTTCATTTTCTATAGCAATTTAAGAAAACAGATTGTTGCAAATTGATGGTAGAGGCACTGAATGCTGATCCATAGGCTCACATTGTTTTGGATATATGCTTGAAGATGAAAATAATCTGGTTAGCTGTACTAGCTCGACATTAGGTTGGCAGCTGTGGGCTAAAATATAAGATTTTGATTTCCACATGGGTTCTATATTTCTATGTGCAATATACTAAGCGAGACAAGTTTCCTGGAATATTTCTCTCACAAGCACATGAACACCGGTTCTTTCTGTTCTGCAGGTAGGATAGGAAGACAGCATTTTTGCCGTGTGAGCAGCAGATTTCATGTAGCATTGTGAGTTGAATAAACTATTGTACACTGTAAAGCCAAAAGAAAGAAAGAAGTACCAAGGTGTTCTCCATTTTCTTCTTTCATTTTTGGGATGAGGCCGGTGGCCGGCCATTAGTGGCCGATGGGAGTGACAGAGCAGCATACATTTTGATAGGCTATTCAATAGGGATTTTCCAGATACGATACTTGTAACAGAATTTTCCTGGAGCTGTATATGAACAACGGCGATGTGATAATCTTTTTTGTATGGAACCTTTTCTTTATACTATTGATTAATTGTTTTACTATTATCACTACATTGTTACTTGATTCCCCAACCGTGTTCAGGGTTTGACTTTTGCGTAACCACGAAGTCTCTTTGGACATACTGTTGAAATGGGAACATCCATGTAAGCTGAATCTCGATTTTCACAGGAATTCCACCGGCGCTGGGGACGTGAAGCCCCTGTGGTAGAGCAAGTTGCTCATGACGCTGTTGGCGCGCTGCGTCAGGTGCACGCCGTCCCAGCTAATGCGCTCGTCCGGCCTTGCGCACACCGACGCGCCTGGCGCGCCGCACATCCGGTCCATGTCGAAGTTGTAGGCGCCGCCGCCAGCACCGCAGCACGCCTCGGTCCGCGCCCCCTCGTCGAACCCCGTCTTGCCGGCGTCCCTCAGCATCCGCACGTACGCGTAGAAGTAGTCGGCGTAGGAGATGGTCGCGGACGTGTAGGATCGGCGCAGCTCTCGGATGCCCTGCTGCAGCAGCACGTTGTGCATCTGGGCGAACAGGTTCAGCGCCGCCAGGCAGCCGTTGGCGTCGTAGGCTGCCGGCTCCGTCTCGTTCACCGCCGCCATGTAGCTCGGCACGCACCCGAGCGGGAAGTTGCCCGGAATCACTACCCGCGTCGCGCCCATGTCGAGGAGCTCCCTTGCCCTTGCTGACGGACCGCACTACGTCCGGGTGCTGCAGCATGCCCGCCGGGCGCCTTCGCCCGGAGCAGGTTCCCGGTGTCGCCGATAGTTGTAGTCGAGTCGCCCCAGTTGACCAGGTGAGCAAGTGATGCGGATCTCCCGGGGACTGGGTGTTGGCGCCGCCTTTCTGGAGCTGGACGCTGCCTGTTGTGGCGCCGGCCTTGCCTGGCGAGGGCGCCGCGTCGAGGGCCGTGACGACAAGCAGCGCCAAGAACGCGGCGAGCAGGATTCGAGCGGCAAGTCGAGATCCTTAGACAGAAGTCGAGGTACCCGTGCAAGTGGTTCGTTGCTTTGTGGCGCCGTCGCGAAGCAGGAAAGAAGCTGCAGGCCAGCAGTGATGGTGCGCCTTCTCTTTTTATGTGGCGGCGCCTGAAGACGATCGCAGAGCCAAGAACGCGGCGAGCAGGATTCGGCATGGTTTTTTTTGCAACGTACTGCAAGTGGTTCGTTGCTTTGTTGGTGTGTCGATAAGAATATGCAGGCCAGCGGGTGCAATTTTATGGAGGGCGTATGAAGACGATCGCGAGCCTAAACAGTTAGGATTCCTGTCTGTCAACTGACAGAGACGGAACCAGATGCAGAGCAGTCAATTCCGAACCTTGTTTTTCGTCTCCGACAGCAAGTTCCTTTAATAATTTTTTTTAATTCTTCGGCGATCCAACGAGTCCGAATCAAATTGCCGGGCGATAAATAACATGGCCAGTTCGCGAGCATTTAATACCGGTGAACCGAAATAGAGACGGAACCAGATGCAGAGCAGTCGATTCAGAAGCTTCGCTTTCGTCTCCGACTCCGACTCCAAGTTGCCTCAATTTTCCTAATTCTCCGGCGATCCTAAGAGTTCGACTCGAATTGCCGGGCCATAAGTATCGTATCCGCCATCTTTCTCTCGATCCCATCCAACACCCATCCATCAACTGCTTTCCCTCCATCCCTTCGGCAGGCGGCGGCTGAGATTCGCCATCGGCTAGGTAGCGCCTAGAGCCCGTTTGCTTGCTTTGCGGCGGATCATGTTCGCCCCTTCGCCTGCCGTTCGCCCTTTCACCGGCGCCGTCGCTCGTTGCGCCGCAACTGCCCCTTCTGACGCCAGTGAGCGCGAGTCCGGGAAGAAGCGTCCTCGTGTCGGCGTCGCGCCGGCACGAGACTCGTCGGCTTGCCTCACCAAGATGATCCGTAACGGCAACAGCGTCGTGACCGCCGCCGGCATGGAGGTCTTAACCGTCGGCGGCAAGATGTCATCCCAGGAGCCCCTACGGAAGCGCCTGGCGTCTGAGCTCGATGCCTTGCGCGGTCTCCTAAAGAAAGCAGAGCTTATATCCCAGCGTGGTGCATGCAAGGGCAGTGCGCCAACTGCCGGCAAGAAAGATCGATTCTTGGCCTCCAACCAGCGAGCGAAGCCAATCGATGAAGATTTCAATGCGCCTTCGGTGAAGAAGAGGAAGATTTCAACTCTGGTGGAGCAGAAGCAGAAGCAGAAGCAGATACCGGCGCCACGGATGTCGCAAGAAGAGAGGAATCAGCTTGCTTGTCGCCTGTCCTCGCTTTCTGGGGAACTGCCGGGGAACATTGTTGAGTTCTTGCAGAAGCAGTTCGGCGATGCGGATAGCCATGGTGAGATCGAGATAAACATTGGCTCTGTGGAAGACTCCGTGCTGTTCGAGTTGAAGACGCGGCTCGACAAGTTCGCCGAGGAGAGCAAGGACCACAAGCTCGCCGTGGAGAGCAAAGGCGAAGTCGTTCTGGAGCAGGAGGACGAAGAGTACATCGACATCTGCGGCCTGTCGCCCATCGTCGAAACCGGCAAGGGGCCGAGCTCAAGCAGCAGCGGTGATTCAGACTCGGACAGCGACTCTGCTAGTGAAAGCGACTCCGACGGCGACGAGTGTGTTGACCGCCCAGCTCAAGTTCCTCCCGAGCAGATCATTGCCACGTCTGCGCAGCCACCGTCGGAGCCGGCACAAGTGGTGCAGCAGAGTACCGAAGCAAAGAAGGTCCAAGGCGTCCAGCGTACCGCGCCCAAGGCTGTCTACATGCTCGGTCTGCTCTACAGGGCGAACCTTCGCCGACAACTGTTGGAGATGGAGAGGACGGCGCTGCCCGACGAGCGCATCCACCCGCGAGACCTGCAGCGTCTCGGCATCGCGGAGTATGGCCATCCCAGCCTCATGCGGCAGCTCGGGCTCGTCCTCAAGGTCGACGCGTAGGCAGCGCGCGGCGAGCTGAAGCAGGAGCACGGCAGCTGTAGATTTTATTTTTTTTGATGAAAGATCGGCAGCTGTAGGTTGTAGAACATAGAAAGTGGATTGGTGTGCTCGGTAGTTATGTTGGACCTATCTCTAATGTTTTTTTTGTGTGTCATGTAATGACGTAACAATGAATTAAAAATCTACTGTCAGGCAATGTGCTTAAGTACTGAGCATTGCAGTATTTGTTTCATAACTGAACATGCAAAGTTTCTTTTTTTGTTGGCAAATTTGGATGTAGCGGTAAGACTGTAAGAGCACAGGGGCATTGCTTTCAATTCACTAGGCAATCTTTTCAGCTAAACTGATGCTAGAATTACAGAAGAAAGATCGTTTTACACAGAATTATTCAGACCAAAGTTCACACGGTCACACAGGATTCACTTGGTAATCTTATCAGCGAACAGACTACTGACATGCAACGAACCACAGCAGCCAGCAAACTTCCATCACGCGACAGTCTTGACTCGTGCATGAAATGGCTTTGACTATCAATTCGCACGCCATAAAGCTATCCCTCTGTGTTCTATTAACAGGTTCAGCCAAATAGATCAGCACGTACTTGAGCACCGAGCAACAGAAGAATGTCAATGACAGCGAGGAACGCTCTTGTCTGCCCAAACCTGGAATAATGTTGAGTTTTACAGGTAGTTATGTATCACTGCAGATCGGCTATGCCTGACTACAACAATTACCGTCCCATGCTAGGGAGTAACATATAAGAGTATAAGACTACGATAGCTGCTTACTGTAGAAGCTGACAGCCGCAAATTCACAACAAAATATCTCCACAAACGCAGTATGCAACATGAACAAAAACATGTATATTACACTATTAAAGGTAGGTTCATGTTTGAAGTTCGATACATTAACACCAGACCTAAGTAGCTTCTACTGAACATTCAGGCAGTAGAGGCAAAAGGCAGTTCACGCTCCAGTGTTCCGTGAGGTCAGTCCCTGCAATCCTTGCTGCAAGCTCTGAGCAAACATACGAAGGCTCATATCATCATTCTAGTCTTGTCCATCATTCTACCATGGCATCAACTTTCTCCTTCGCAGGTGGTTTTGCATTTTTGGCTTTCTTCCTGCCTGCAGAGTGAATCACCATGATTACATGCCTCAAGCAATACTATCATTTCCAAGAAGGAAATGAAGTTTGAATGTGTTAACATTTACAATTTGAACAACAGGATACCTTTTCCCTTTAATCTCTTGATCTGTATTCTTGAGTTTTTCTTCACACTGAACTTCACTTGAGACTTGCCCGTTGCAGTATCCGAAGATTCTGTCAACAAAAAATACCAAAGTAAGAAATGATGTTGCAGTAATCATCAGATAAATATTTAGGAAAGTTAACACAAGGTTCAAAAGGAAAAAAAGTTGCCTAGCTAAACACAAGTGGAAATAACATCAAGCAACACACTGAAATAGCATGACAGAAACAATAGAAAGCAATAGAATTCCCTATAGGTAGGTCGTAAGTGGGTCAACCTAAGACCAGGTACCCAAGTTAGAAGTCTACAAATAGCTGTAGCATAGAACAGCTGCATTTTTTTGTGAAAATAAAAAAGTACCACATGGTCACATCCCTGATCAAACAATGTTGGGAACTTGAAAACATTGTGAGCAAGCTAATAGATCTGACACAAATGAGAGGCAAATGAAACTTTCTACAAAAATGCCGACTAAAATTTATTGCAGACATTAGATCGTACAAATAGTTCCACTATGAGATTAGATGGGCAGCTCTTCATCGGTATTCATATTAAGCATGTCTCTTATGTTTATAGCTCTGCCAATTAAAATAATAGATATACACAAAAATCGAGCATATCTCCTGAAACCAAGAATCTGTCAATGCATCATCTCCCTTCCCTTTTCTTGGAGAAGATCAAACAGTTCAACCATATGTTTTAACTTTGTTTGCATAATGGTGCAAAGCCTTCGAAAGCTTCAGCAATAAAAGTTAAACTACAAAAGGTACTAATAGATATATTAGCATGGGTAGGCATATTTTTCACAACACTTTAGCGGCCAATAATTTAGCTTCTCTTATTTGATTAGCCTGTCTACAGAGTACAGACAATGCAACACTAGAAGCTGTTTTGAAAGGATAGGGGCAGTTGCTGTCTTGAAATATATTTCATCACAATAAACAGGAATAGCTTTGTTTGGTACAGTATGTTTTTATAGATACTCTCTGTTATAATGTGAATGGACAATAAAAGTTACAAACACAAAGAAAGCTAACTTCCCCTATAGATGCAAATCTAGAGTACTCTGAGCACAATACACTAAAACACCTTACTTTCCTGATCTGCAACACTATACTAAACAGAAACCTACATTTTCCAGTCTTTGAATCTACTAGAAGGACAAGCTTAACATAAATAGGTGGAGCTAACACCATGATTAACAGTGCCTCATGTTGCCATCAGTCCTGTAGTCTCAACTCCAACTCCAACTCCAACTAACTACTGTTGCATCAGTGCAATCAGTGCTACATTTATATATAATAGCATTAAATCAGGTACTCTGCTGGTATAACCAGTATTATGTTATAACAGCATGGGAAAGATTGCAGGGCATCGGAGTTATTGGTGACTTGGTGAAGCTGCGACCCTGTGACCTAAGACAAGCATCACAGTTGCATACGACCCAAATCACAACTCGTTTCCAAATGCCAAAATGAAACATCAACAAGCATAAGGCAATGGAAATAGTCAACAGCACAATCAACTTTTTTTTCATGACCAAGGATGCAATAGCCAGGAATATGAGAATGGTCACCAAATATCTAATTTGCTCACCAAATGGAGGGTCAAGTTTACACACTCAAACGGTCACCACATTCAGTTATCCCTCAAGTGTAACTTTTGATTGAAACAGGACTGCTACAAATCTTTACAGAGCCACTAATTATCCTACAAATACACGAACCACACAATCCTTAGCAATCACCACTACACCAATTCTCCAAAAACCGACCTAACTGAATCCAAACAAGCAATCGGCCCTAGAATCTCTCACCTTCAGCAGAGACCATGTCGACATCCCCCATATTGTTCTCCAGCGCCTTAATCATCGCAGCCTCTTTCTGCTCCTGCACAGCAATAACCCAAAAAAAAACACATCAGAGAGGCCAAACCATCGCACCAAAGACCTCCCAGCTAAGAAAAGCCACCAGCCTTACCCGGTTGAGGCGGCGCTCGAGCTTGCGCTTCCGCTTGCCGGACATGGAGACGGGCGCGGTCCGCTGCTTGAGCTTGCCGGTGCCGGGCTCCCCATGCGCGGCGCGCTTGCGGTCCTGCTTCCACTGGCGCTTGTTCTTCTGCACCACGTTGTACTTGGCCATGGCGTGGCGGCGGATGGGTCTCGCACGCGCCGCCGCGGGAGAGGAGGGGAGAGAGAGGAAGACGAGCAAACCCTTCGGCCTGGGCTTTAACCCTTCCCCCACCCTGCCTCAAGATCCGTGCAAGGACACGCGGCTTTCTCCTAACCCCTCACCCCTGGTCGCCTGGAGATTCGTGCGAGAAAGGCGTGGTGACGTGGCGACTCCGTCTCGGTTTGCTCGGACATGCGCGTCAGCTCTCTCCGGCTCGGACATGCTCCCGCGTTTCCTAGTCCGAACCCGGCAAGCAAATGGGGCTCACGGCGCGCTCATAAAAGGCGCCTGCTGGCCTCCAAAACGAACACCGCGCGCACTTGCAGTACGTGAGATACTGACATGGCGACCATGGCTCGCATCCTGCTCGGCGCTTTAGTGGCGATGCTGCTCGTCGTCTGCCCGTGCCATGCAAGGCCGGCGCCGGAACAGACGGCGAAGTCGTCGACAGTGGAAGAGAAGGCGGTGGTGGACGGCATCACTGCCATATACAACTTCGGCGACTCCCTGTCAGACACCGGGAACCTGCTCCGCGAAGGCGACACCGGCATGCTGCAGCACACCACGGGCCTTCCCTACGGGTCCGCCATCGGCGGTGCCACCGGGCGATGCTCCGACGGGTACCTCATGATAGACTATCTCGCAAAGGATCTCGGCTTGCCTCTGCTAAACCCGTACCTCGAAGAGGGCGCCGACTTCTCGCACGGCGTCAACTTCGCCGTGGCCGGTGCCACGGCCCTCGACGCGGCGGCGCTCGCCAGGAGAGGGGTCGCCGTCCCTCACACCAACAGCTCACTGGGCGTCCAGCTGCAGCGGTTCAAGGACTTCATGAGCGCCAACACCCGGTCCCCGCAGGAGATCGGCGAGAAGCTGGCTAGTTCTCTGGTCATGGTGGGGGAGATCGGCGGCAACGACTACAACTACGCCTTCTCGGCGAACAAGCCGGCGGCCGGCGACGCGCGCAACATCTACAACTTGGGCCGCATGGCGACCGGCGTGGCCGAGGCGATGGCGCTCGTCCCGGACGTAGTGCGGTCCGTCACGAGCGCGGCAAGGGAGCTCCTCGACATGGGCGCGACGCGGGTAGTGATTCCGGGCAACTTCCCGCTCGGGTGCGTGCCGAGCTACATGGCGGCGGTGAACGAGACGGAGCCGGCAGCCTACGACGTCAACGGCTGCCTGGCGGCGCTGAACCTGTTCGCCCAGATGCACAACGTGCTGCTGCAGCAGGGCATCCGAGAGCTGCGCCGATCCTACACGTCCGCGACCATCTCCTACGCCGACTACTTCTACGCGTACGTGCGGATGCGGATGCCGGCAAGACGGGGTTGGACGAGGGGGCGCGGACCAAGGCGTGCTGCGGTGCTGGCGGCGGCGCCTACAACTTCGACATGGACCGGATGTGCGGCGCGCCAGGCGCGTCGGGAATATTCCGCGTCGGTGTGCGCGAGGCCCGACGAGCGCATTAGCTGGGACGGCGTGCACCTGACGCAGCATGCCAACAGCGTCATGACCAACCTGCTCTACCACAAGGCCTTCGCGTCACCAGCGCCGGTGGAGTTCCCGCGTACTTGAAGTTGAAGATTGACAAGCGTCCTTCGTTAGTCTTTTGATGCATGTTTTTATACCCCAATCCATATGTATTGGAGTGGAATATAATAGAATTTAGTTCAATTACGCTCCAATTCACTTCAACATATATGGATTGATATGAATACATGTGTATTCAAACAAGGCCTTAATGTCTAGATAGCTAGTAGGGTGTTCCGAATTTTGTGTTCTATATTTCTCTAATGTTGCACAATTTTGTCTCGCCACTAATGCTTGTGCTAGGGTCAGAGCTACAAAGTCATTATTAGGATCAGCGGACCCCTCACCCCTATAGATTATTGAGAATGCTATATAAACTGTCCATTAACTAGTATAGGTTTATAACTCATGATTTGTCTTCTAGAGACACTAGCGTCCGAACGCAGCATTTCCCTTGCCCGCGCCCGACGCAACTCCCTCACCAGCGCCAATCCCGCTCCGGACGTGGCGTTCGTTCGGACGAAGCTCCCTCGCGCACGCCCGGCGCAGTTCCCTCGCCGGCGCCCATATTCATGCTCCCCAATCCGCCCGATGTGCCGTGCCTGTGCCCATCCCGCTGCCCAACCCGCCCGATCCGCCGTGGCATCCCGTCCCTCCCGCGGCCGCGGCCGTGGCCTCCATCTTCATCACACCTGGGTGCCGTAGTAGCCGGCCTTCTTCGTGTCACTGCTCGGGCAGCCACACGATGACCGAAGGCCTGAGCTTCCTCCACACTAACATCCAGATATACTTTTACAACACTCAGATGAAAAAGAATTGTAACATACGTCTGAAACCGATAAAACATTTGGGATATACACTTGCAACACAACCATTACAACATATACAACATCTAGATAAAACACTTACAACATACGTCTAAAACAGATAAATATTTTGAACAAACTCTTGCAACATACGTGTATAGCCATTGCAACATGTGCAACATCTGGATGTACCTTTGCAATATCCATATGAAACACTTGCAACATATCTCTGAAACATTTGAAACAACTAGAACATACATTTGTAACACGCGTTTTCAGCGCAACATAGCGCGGGCGACGCATTGAACTCACGTGTGGAGGTGCCCCGCGCAGCCAGGGAAACAGCTGCAACATGGGCGCGCCCAATCGGTACAGTGGTTGTTTCCGCTTGTCTGGAGTCGACACACATGCTGTATTGTATGCCACGACACCGATGGCTACTGTTTAGGGAGTCGCGACAATAGGGGTACACGTACACATGAGGAGAGTGAGAGGCGATGTAAAGGCCGCCGGTTTTGGATCCAACGATTCGGTCGTAGCAAGGAACTTGGAACAGTCGCAGTGTTTTTGGATTAATTCTTCACTGATTTTATGCAACCACATGAATTTTACCAAACTTTGCGAAAGAGAGTCAACTGTGCCGGTGACCAACCTTCTATGTGAATGGAGACACTAGCGCCTAGACATCCGGATGTGGCGTCCGTCCGGACGTAGCTCCCTTGCTCGAGCTCGATGCAGCTCCCATTCCCGCACCAATGTCGCTCCGGACGTGGCGTCCGTCCGGACGAAGCTCCCGCACCCGACGCAGCTCTCTCGCCCATGCCCATCCCGCTCCCCATCCCGGATGCGCCGCGCGCATCCCGCCCTATCCGCCTCGGGATCCTGTCCCCGCCGCTCCCGCATCCGCGACCTCCATCTTCGCCACACGAGGGAGCCGCAGCAGCCGGCCTTTTACGTGTCACCACTCGGGTAGCAGCACGACCACCGAGGGCTTAGGCTTCCTCTAGATTTTTTTAATTTTAACCTTTTCTTAAAATAATTTTAAAATTAACACTATTTCTTATTCATTTTTGAATTAGCCCGTTTGGTCGCGCCTAAGTCCCTGGCATGGCCAAAACACGCTGTCGCGCCACATGCATTGGCACGGCACGATTTGCCATGTTGGACAGCGATTCCCAGCTAGAAAAGCTTGCCGCGCCACTCCTATTGGCGTCACAGCACTGTAGTGCCGCTGGACTGGCATGGCAAGCGCAAACTAGAAAAAATGTATCTTTTTCATACGGCTTGGATAAAAATGATGTTTATATAAAAATTATAGCTCTCGACGACTTTCTAGTCTTGAGGTTTTTTAATTTGAGATCGTTAAGATACTCAAAAAAATTAAACAAATGTTCAACAATATATTAATTAATCATATACAAGCGTTTGTCATCTTTGTAAAATCATATCTTTCTTATCTAGTGTCAAATGGAGATACTTTCTATATGTAACTTGTAGCTCTAGTTGGGATCTATAACTTTATAGTTTCAAATTTTTTTATTTGAGGTCGTAAAGATGTTAAAAATAATATAAATTTTCAGCAGTATATTAATCACGTACAAGCTCTTATTGCCTTGGAAAAATGATTTTTTTTGTACGGTGTCAAATGAAGATACTTTGTGGGGCTACATCTTGACTAGAACTACCTCTGCGCCGATGCATATGGCACGGCACGACAGCGTGTTTTGGCCGCGTCAGGGACTAAGGTGTGGCCAAACAGGTTAGATTCAAAAATAAAAAAACAACCGTGTTAATGTCAAAAACTGTTTTTAAAAAAGGTTAAAAAGAAAAAAAATCTTCCTCCACACCTACATCCAGATCTACTTTTACAATACTTAGATGAAACAATTGCAACATACGTCTGAAATAGATGAAACATTTGGAACATACACTTGCAACATAGCCATTGCAATATATGCAACATCCAGATAAAACACTTGAAACATATGTCTGAAATGGATGAAACATTTTGAACAAACTATTGCAACATAGGTTTATAGCCATTGCAACATGTGCAACATCCGGATCTACCTTTGCAACATCCATACGAAACACTTGCAACGTACCTCTAAAACATCTGAAATAACTGGAACATACGTTTGCAACACGCGTTTTCAGCGCAACATGGTGCGCGACCGCAACAATGGATGGCGGCACCCGACGCGTGGTGGAGACGTGGTGTGGTGGAGGCAGAGGCGCGGCCGGGGAAATGGCTGCAACGCGGGTGTGCTCAGTTAGTACGTTGGTTGTTTCCGTGTGTCTAGAGTCGACAGACATGCTGCGTTGCATGACAAAACAACGATGGCTAGTCGTGGCAATAGGCGTACATGCACACACGAGGAGCATGAGAGGCAATGTGAAGGCCGGCGGCTTTGGAATCAATGTTTCGTCGTAGCAAGGAACTTGGAACGGTCGTAGTGTTTTTGGGATTAATTCTTCACTCATTTTATGCAAACACATGAGCTCCACTAAACTTTGTGAAAGAGAGAGCCCACTATGCCGGCGACCAGCCTTCTACGTGAATGGAGACACTAGCGCTCAGATGTCCAAACGCGGCGTCTGTTTGGACGTAGCTCCTTCTCCCGCACCCGACGTAGGCCCCATCGCCCGCGCCCATCCAGCTCCCTATCCCGCCTGATACGTCGCGCCCCACGCCCATCCCGCCCGATCCACCGTGGCATTCCATCCCCACCGCTCCCTGCGTCCAACGGCATCCATCTTCACCACACCAGTGAGGCACAACAGTCGGCCTTCTATATGGCACTGCTCGGCAGCAACATGGCCACTGAGAGCTTGGGCTTCCTCCACACCTATATCTAGATCTACTTTTGCAAGACTCAGATGAAATAATTACAACATACGTCTTAGACAGATGAGAGATTTAGAACATACACTTGCAACATAGCCATTGCAAAATATGCAACGTCCAGATAAAACACTTGGAATATACGTCTGAAACAGGTGAAATAATTTGATCAAGCTCTTACAACATACGTGTATAGCCATTGCAATGTGTAATATCCGGATCTATCTTTGCAACTTCCAAATGAAATACTTGAAACATATCTCTGAAACATCTAAAAACAACTGGAACATATGTTTGCAGCACGTATTTTCAGCGCAACATGGCTTGGGCGGGAGTGAGCGGAGCGCGCGGAGCGAGTCGTCTGGACAGACCTAATTGTATCATTATCACTTGTCTCCCATGCCTTTAGTGGCTGCCTTCGATCCACCCCTGCTTTGTGCCATGTATGCTAGTTCTATGTTTTGAGGATGCACTCTGCATTTTTTTGTGTTTTCTTTACAAGAGTGAACCTTGTTTGAACGAATATTGTCGTAGGGCAATTTTTCGTTAGCCAATAATACGATCTATGACCTACTCCCTCCGTCCCTTTTTAAACATCATTCTTACAAACGATACTCAACGACATTGATCAAAAATATATATGAAAAATTACTAATATTTATAGTACGTAATAAGTATCATTAGATTGATCATTAAATATATTTTTATAGTACTCTTATTCGGAGATATAAATGTTACTAATATTTTTTTATAAATTTTGTTAAACTTAAGAAAGCTTGACATGCACGTAAATCTAGATGATATTTTTGAAAAGGGATGAAGAGAGTATAAAGCAACATCATACTTCACATCAAATGAAAAGATACAAGACGACAAAGGAGCACGCAGTCGCAGCGTGCTTCGTTCAAAGGATCATTTTAGAGCAGGCCCAACGTGGTTCATAAAAGTTGTGGTTTCAAGAAAAAGTTGGTCACCACATAGCACCTAGGTACGTAGGCTTGAGGCACTATCCAAATAGGCAGTCGTCGGAAGGATAGTTTTACTAGGCAAGGATGGGCGACAGGATGGGCGGCGACTTCTTGTTGCGCGAGGGCTTCGTTCGTCATGTGCTTTTGACTTCTTGTTGCATCGAGGGCGAGGCCGGCATGTCCAAAGTTAAGGCTTTGGCGCTTACAAGTCTTGATTCTCCAGTCTCTCCAACCCCGCCCCATATCCACAACCCCGGCGCCACCTCGATCAAGGAATTAATGATATGTACTACTGGACTCCTTGGAGTCACATTTCAAGCATGTGTTGAGATCAAAAGGATCATCTAGGGTTAAGTCTAGCGGGTTCTCGCTTGTGAATACGTCGAGAGTAGAGACAGAGAGAATAGAAGAAGAACGTGTTGAACC